ATTAATTTCTTTAAAAAAAAAAAAAAAAAACTTTAGCACTAACATCCTGCGACAGCTCTTAATGCTCCTCTATTATATTGTATTTGAATTTAATGTATTTAAGAGACTTTTTCTTTTTATTTCTTATCAAGAGTGAAGTACAAATAATCGAACCCCAAGAAAACAGGCAGCATTGATACTTATGCGTTAAAACGATATGCATTAAAACGATAACAAATATTCTATTAGAGATATCTTTCATTCTAGTCAGCGCAAGAAAAAATATGAAACAAACATAAATGCATATTTAATGATGTATAATAACGCCTATTAGAGCAGATAGTACATCGCATAAAAAACATAGTTGCACAACACATTGTGATATGCAATGTGAAAAGTAAACAACTCGAATAAAATAAAAATTGCTTCTTATTAAATTCATATATTTTATAGCTGTGAAAACTGTTCATATAAAATAAAGAAAAAATTCAGTCCAATTTTTATGTTGATGAAAAACAAAAATTTAATTCAAAGAAGTATATAACATTCGATTGATAATTCGTTGAAGTTTTATGTGACACCGACGGTGTTGAATATCATCGTATTGTGTATTTGATTTGCAATAAAATGCAATTATACTCGCATATTATACTTGCTTTTGCAATAAAGCGAAATTGCACTATTTGAAGGACATGAGGTTTATTTTTGATGTCGGTGTTTGTATCGTTAATTAACAGTTAGCAGCATTTCAATCAATTTTATTCCGTTTAAAAAAAGCGAGAGGTGTACATAATATAGTTCTTATGTTAATAAGATTCCGTTAGAATTTAATATATACGTAAAATCTTTTTTGCTAGGTAATATGATGTACACTTGAAGATTTATCAGACTTGTCATCGATATCGCCGATACGATCGTTTGAGAACACACCTATCAAATTACCGTAGGAATTAAGTATTGAGTGGAACTGTAATTATTTTTTTTTATGTTGACTGCAGTGGAGGCCTTGGTGTTTCTTCAAGAGACTAATGATTCTTTAATCATTGTCGACAAATTTATCTTACATCCTGTGTATTAAATTTAGATAGAACGATACATTCATTTTACGTTTATAACAATATATGCCAAATATTAGTCCATTTGCTTATGCAATTAATTAACTTTTTTATGCAGTCAACAAAGAATACGATTAAAATTATCTTTGTGTCATCGTATTAGGTTCTGCTGAATATGTTGTTTTTTAAAAGAAAAGATTGAACGTGCACCTTATACTTACAATTAGTCACGCGTGAACAATTATATTACTGTGTAGCGTTATACTTGATTTTATCATGAACATTATGTTCTCGGAATTGAATAAAATTGATTAGTCTCTTGTTTTTTAGCCTCAGAGATTTAAATAGCTTAAAAAATATTAAGGTTGATTAACAAATATCGATAGGGACCGATTTAATCCGATTTATCTAATAACTTTTTGTAGAATAATTTAATTTTTTTTATTTTAGTGCAAATTAATTAAAATTCCATCTCGTATCTCTTGCATTTATTTATCCATGCAAACAAATGCAATAAAATGTTTTTCAATTTGCATTTATTATTTTGTATTTTTATTCATATATATCTTTAGCGCTATGAATAATACATTTTGTCTTGTAATATATAAATATAATATATTAATAATATATAAATAATACATCAAACAATTTTATATTTAGCAAGTTAAATGTTAACAATGTTAGCAAGTCAAACGTTAACAATGTTAGCAAACTTGATCATGTTTCACGATATTTTGCTTACTGGATGTGTCATATATATATATTGCTTTTTCAAGTTGCCAAAAAAATACCGATATCAGATAATTAATACGAAGTAATTAGCACAAAATAGAAAAAAGAGATGCAGTCTTTCTAGAACAACATGTCCTTGACTCGCACTTTCCACATCCACATCCGCGCCAGAACAACCTAAAAAGATTGCATATCTCGTACATTTATCCATCTGCTTATACATATTTTATGAGCAATACTATAAAGGAAAGGAAAATCCTAATGAGGGCTGTCCAAAACTGTTACAAGTTAAATGTTTCCTTTATCTGTAAAAAAGAAAATCTTGTATTATATGGACGATTTATTATCTAATGCACCATTAAATTACTCAATTTTATTTGCACATTTTTCATTGCAATACTTGATGGCACATAAATAATGCAATACTGAAATACCACGTAAATAAGTGGTAATTTACATATTATGAAGATATAAAGTTGAAAAAAATGTAGTTTACAAAAATCGCAGTAAGGGACTGTGTATCTCATTAGTTAATCGTAAGATAATAACTCTTTATATATATTGCGTTATGCACTCATATATATCTTACGATTAGATCTATTCGTAGAATAGTTATTGCACATTTATGGCAATTAGATAAATAATCATTACAATCGGATGATATTTTAATCAGCTTGAAATGTCTTATTAAAACCCTTCATTAGACGTAATGCTTTATGATAAACTCTTGCGCAACATTAATTTATGCACATAGTGTTATTGATAACAATGACATCATTTTGATAAATGATTTATACAATGATTTTCAGAACTAGCAAAGCGTTTTTCATTTATGAATTCTTTGAGCAATTTAAAGCTGAATTTTTTTTTCTTAGTGAAAATCTTAAAAGAAATTACTTGTTGGTTTTTAAATTTTATTATTTTTTTTTTGTGTAATTAATCTTGAAATTATAAATCTGTTCAAACGTCTAATTTAAAATTAAACATAGCACATCTATTTTATATTTGGAGCTTTGTTTTTTTTTTCATTTTTACTTATAACTTAAGAAATTTTGAAACTTTAAATTTTTCTTAAGAAAAATTTGCCTTTATATATATTTATAAAAAAGTCTATAAATAACAGAGAACAGTAAATCTGGAGCACCTATGTCTGTTTTGTTTTATGTCAGCAAGTTTACAAAAAATTAAATTGATTGTTGCAACACGAGAACCTTACATGTGCGACATAAACACCATGCGATCGAAAAAGATTACATACTAAAGTGCAAGTTAAATATGATAATTGCCATCGGATATCCGATCAAACATTCCGATGTGCTGCATTATACGCGTTATCTGCGATTATGTCGCTCTATTAATTCACACGCCTTTCATCGCATATTTAGAGTCGCGCTTCTATCATAAATGACAGAATAATTCATAGATTTTTGCATGGTAGTTATATCAGTTGCATCAGTTAGTATTGCAACAGTAACTTTGCAAAAAAAAATATTTTTTTACTCGCGTTTTGTAATTAAAGCTATGTAAAAATATAGAAGATATATTTTGGAAGTGTAACAATTTTTACAATCGCACGAATTTAAAGATAACAATGCGTGAATTACCGAATCGTAAAATTTTTCAGAACGCATTCATGTATTCAAGGTGAGCATACTTTCAAAAATGTAATCATAACAAGATATAAGATTCGAGATTTAAGATTTAGGATTCGATTTTTAAGA